TTTTTCTGTTATTTTCATGTTGTTGGCCAGCATGCACCCCAAATGCCCTGTGACCTATGGCCTGCAAGTGAAAGAACAGAGCAAGGAAGAATCTATCCAAACATTCAACAAATTTGGGACCTTGTGGGGTGTGAAGCCCAAACTAATGCAGTTTTCTTCTTCTGTTGTCTTCTGTTCCACAGTTAGGAAAGAATTTCTGCTTTAATGGGGGGAATGAGCCTGTTAAGATGCAGTTTTTGGTAGAATTGCGCTGGTCTGTGCTGACATGTGGTAAATCCAGTGACTTTTGGTGAAGATTGCTACCAGTGGCCATCCACTGGACCAAAATCTACTTTCTTAAAATGTCAGGGAAATTAAAATATGTTAGGAAATTAAAATATGCATTGTCTAGTACTGTGCCAGAGTGTCCCAGTCTCTGCAGGCTGAAACTGAATTGTCTGCAGCGCAAATGAGAACCCTTGGTGCTCTGGTCTTAAAATGGCTAAAAAAAAAAATGCAGGAATTGAAACAAACAATCCAAACCCCTCTGGTACTGTGTGCAAAGGAAAAATAGTGTGAAACACTGGCCTGGCTCTTTCAGGAGGTCCAGCACATCCTGTGCCAGCCCTGGTCCTGCACTGCTTTGTGCCAGCACAAGAATTCGTGACATTGCTGTGGGTCTGCCTCAAAACCCCTCCTGCCCTTTTGGAAGGAGCCTTTTTAAAATCTGAATTTGTTCTTCATATTTTCTGTGGTTTGCATGTGTTTGAAAAGGTTTTTTTTGGTTTGGTTTGGTTTGAATTCCCCTCTGTGCGAAAGATCTCTTGAAAAATCTGATTATTTAAGGAATGAGTGCTCAGAGCTGGGCTTGAAGTTGTACTTTCTTGTAGTGCTTTACAGGTACTTGGGAAATTTTTTTCCTGAAGTAAAGAGCAAAAATAGGTAGGTGTGTGTGGTTCAGGGTGTCTGAAGTACCCTGTGTGTGTCTCATAAGCTGTTAGCTCTGTCCTGTGCTTGGCAGAACCTGGAGGCAGTGGTACCTATGAAATGTATTGAAGATGACATAATAGATTGTGAAGAATGGGCGTGCTTTTCTGGATTCTATAGTGGTTTGTAATTTTGAACATGCATCTCTTCAATCTGTGCGTTTGATGATAATCACTCTGGATTTGTACACGTGAAAAAAACACCATCCAGTGCCAACTCTGAACAGAACTAAAGTTTCATGTATAACATATCTTTCATTATCTTTAATAGGCAGTATTAAAGGTAAAGAAAAGCTGTTTGTTCACTGTTTTGAATTTCACCCAGCTAGAAAAATCACTCCTGTGACACTCAAACACCGCACTTACTTTTTAGGTTTCTGAATTTATCTCTGAAATCCTCCTGTCATGTGTTTGTTAACAAATACATGTTCCAGCCATAATATAGATATTTTATTTTTGTGTGCTTGCATTTTGATGCTGCTCTTGTGAATTAGTGAAGAAAGGCAACAGGATTCAACTCCTTCCCTCAGAAAACCCTTTAATCAGTTTAAGTAAAATATTTTTTCCTTCATATAACAACTCTGGGGCCAGCACATTTCTAAAGTGAGTACCACTTAGGAAAGCATACTGAAAACAGTTTGTAAAAGGGAAAAGTTCTGCTGGGTGCCCTTAGCAGAAAAGTTTCAGAGTTTGTAATGTATGAACAAAAATGCTCCTGATGACTGTGGTACAGCTTGCTGCAGTTGCTGAGCAGGTATTATTGTGAAAAAGGTGTGAGCTTAGAAGCAGGTCCCGCTCTGGATTCATACAAGCAAAACCCAAATACCAGGAACTTGGAGGCCACAGGGTTTGCTGTGTGTAAGGACTAGTGAGGCAGGGAAGTGCCAGAGAAATGTCTGATCTCCTTCTCTACCACAGACAAGGTTTGTGAGCTTCCTAATTCCAGTCCCCATATCCAGGCTTCTTCCCTGTTTCTCTGTGCTAGGAGCTCCTTTTGTAGTGCCAGAGGCTCCAGATGTGCAAAGACAGAACAGGAGGAGTCCTGGTGCTGTGAGTGTGGAGAAGGGACGCAGCAGGTTCAGGGTCAAACCTGCTCCCTGTCACCTTTTCCTTTGTGTTCCTGGGACCAGGGGAGCTCTCCTGTTCCCTTTTTCCCCTCAGCTGCTCATCTCTCTCCTTGTCCAGTCCCAGCAGTAGAATTTGTGCAGTGGCTGGGCGAGGAGGCTGACCCACAGCGGAGCAGAAGGTTTTTCCTGGGGCTGAGTGGATGTTTCCCTGGTGGATGAGATTCCCTGTTCCCACCAGAGTGCAGGGACACGGGTGGGATGCTGGATTGCTGGTTTTACTGGGTCACAGGAAGCCAGCTAAAATACTCATGCAGAATCCATCCCAGGAAAAGTTTCCCTGGAAGTGTTGCTCTGATTTGGTCAGGACAACGACTCATCTCTGGGCCTTTTTGTCTGAAACAGGAATTTTCCTATGGTGTTTTGCAAAGCTCACTTCTTTCAAAAGTTATGACTACTGTAAAAAAAAAAATCAGAGTGAAAGGGTAAATTTGGGAAAATGTTTTATGCCATTTAGTCTTTTTCAGGTTGATTTTTCTCAGTTTGACATGTTTCTAAACAGGACATTCCATCCCAGTGGATTTCTGCCTGGCAATACAGGAGACCCTTCTTGTGGCTTTCAGCAACAAAGGAAAACCTGCCTGCTTGCCATGCATATCTGAAGGTTGGCTAGAGTAAAAATTACTTTTTTAAAATATATAGGTCACTTATACTCACTATTAGAGGCCTGCTGTTTATTTTCTGTCTGCCCAACTATTAAAAAATATTTGGGCTTGCTCCTTCTGTCTTTCTTTCCTTCTGTTTTTCTTTCCTTCTGTCTTTTCCCTCATTGTCATACATTTTTGAAAGTCTCCTCTTTCCATTTGCTGTCTTGAAGGTAAAAGAACAAACACGTCAAATCTTTGTTGCTGTTGTGGCTGTTGACACAATTGCTGTGATTTTGGCGGGGATGGGAGGGGGAGGAAAAAAGGGGAAAAAAAATAAAAGACACCAGCCACATCCCTGATTATATTTCCATAGGAAAGCCCCAGTTACCCTAAGACAATGCTCGGCCTGAAAGGCGAACCCTGGTGTTTCTGGTCGCTGAGGTGAGCTCACCTACAAAGGAGCAGGGCACCGCATCAACACCCGCTGACGGAAGGTGCTGCGGAAGATGCCAAAACCCGTTCTGAGGATTGGAGGGGTTTTAATTGTTATGATTTATTTATTTTGTCATCTCGGTGGGCAGCGGGCGATGCGTGCTGCGGGGCCGGCAGT